ATAGGAAGGTCCTTTAACAGTCTTTTATCTATAAGGCATCTAAATGTCTTTTTACAACATTTGAATCAAAAAAAAAAAACCCAAAACCAAAATGGCCAAAACTGTTTAGCAATGATTTGATTATCCACGCCCATAGCCAACAAAACCAAGTGTAAATACCTTGCTCTGAGTTATGATTCTCAAAGGACAGGTGCTAAACACACGCAGTAGGCTGGACACTCACACAGTTTTGTCTCATATGACACAGAAACAGAGAGATTTCAATTGATGGGAAACCAATTTTTTCTAGTTTAGAGATATTTTACAGTTTATGTGCTCCCACGCTTATAAGAAAGCTGTCTCCTAATGTGTTAGTATTGATACAATCAAGATTTACATTTTTCTTTGTCTCGAACCAAGTAAAAAAAGAAATATTTGTCTGCATTTTCATTTTCAGGTGGGTAACTAAAACCACCATCAGATCATTTGATTATCCAAAGAAAGAGATTGATATCAATGCCTTAAGTGCTACCCAGGTAGACCAAGTTATAGGCCACTGAATTTAGTCTACCTGATCCATGTTTTTCTATATGCAGGCTTAGACATAACTGCTGAAATGAGAAATTATGACAGGTGACATAGCATGTCTCATTCATTCACACAGCATAGAGCAAGAGCACAGTCTCTGATGATTACCTAGCTCCTTGAGTTTACACCTGAGCCAAATGTATCCCTCTGATGATTACCTAGCTCCTTACCATTGAGTTTACACCTGAGCCAAATGTATCACAGCAAAATTCTGTTTTCCTTCAGTTCAATACTACTCCTATGTTAACTGTTATACACATACTACTATTCACATATACCAACTGTAGACAGAAATAGGACAGCAGTGTACAGCTCTGAAGAATACATTACTATACGATAAAGTGCAATTTACAAATACTAAGAATATCTTAGATTCAAGCACACTAATATTGGTGTTTTCCTATCATTGGATAATTACATATGAAACAGCCAAGTATTCTCCACTTTTATGCACTGCTTGTCTGGGTTTTCTTTTAGCATGCCTATGAGTATTTGGAGCTGTTTTCACATAGCAATCTTAGAACAAGCACCTCAACAGTGCAGTACACCTGTGAATGAAGCTTTCACAGTACGCAATATTATTCCATCACTGGTCAGTGAATTTTGCAGAAATTGTGCTAAATATTTGTGCAAAACATCATATATAAATTGTGAAACTGTGATGAAACTATCAGATATACAGGTAGAGTTGCATTTTCTACTTGGTTCATATTGTTCATAATGCCTGCCACAAGACGGTCACTTAAAAAACACAAGCTTGTAAGATTATTGCTTTGTTAACTGTCATGGATATCTCTGTCCATGGTTCAACCCTGGAAATATTGCTACCTTTGTCCAAAACACCTAAAACAATCTGCCAGTAATACTAGTTTCCTACCATAAATCTATACACTTACCAATGAATTAATTGAATGCTCCAAATACTGAGATTATTTAACTACAAATACTAACTTAGTAGCCAAGTGATTCTTTAAATTATTTCACCTTCTTTCACATCATTATTGTGTCACTTTTCTGTCCACCACTAAACACTGGCTACAATTTCAGAATGGATACAATACCTGTATACCCACACGCCTTTTTATAGTATTTTCATATTCTTTATGAGCAAAATGTTATTACTGTGATATATTCTGTATGAAACACAAATAAACAAGTGAAAACTTTTCCATATATTTTAAAAAAACTTACCCAATTGACTGAATGCCATTTCTGTAAGACTTGATAAAGTAATTTTTCCTTCCTTGCCTAGTGACATCAACCCAACCACCTTCATTGTCTAGGATGCCATAATGTATGGCAGCTTTACAAATACTGGATTGCTGAAAAACAGAGCAGGAAGAGTAGTTCCACGTCAGACAAAAAGCAGGTTTTAATTACAATGTGTCATTAAAAACTTGGTAGATAGTCTATTATATCTGGCATGATCTATGCCAGTATTTTTCAAACCAATAAAACACCATTTTGCCTTACAGAGATAAATTATTCTCATTTACAGTATACTTGTTCAGAATAGCTGTTATTTGCTATACTGGTTTCCAGTTCTACAGAGTAAATGATGTACTTTCAGCTAGCGTTAAGACTGTACAACTAGGCCTATCTTACTGAAGGAATTTATATGAATGTACCCACAAAGTGCTGTATCTCTCCTTTAGTCACACCTGCACATATTCACATGCAAATATGTAGACACAAAAATTCTACTTCTTTGTATAAGTACGAAGAACATTCAGACAGTACATGCAGAACAGTGGATGCAAATTTAGATCATCTGATGCTATCTTAAACATTTGTGGCAAGCTTTTTATTTTTGGTGAATGCTGTTATCCTCAAAATCCATTCTTAATATTATTTTAACTAGTGTTCCAACAGAAAAGACATTCTATTAAACAGCCTACTGGTACAAAATCTAATTTAAAAATATTTACCATTTCATAATGCACACTTCCAATAACTTTGGCTTTGCTATCCAAACAGCCAGCAGGACATTCATACCTAAAATAAGAAAATACAACTTGGTCTTAAATCATGGGATTACAAAAAGGGAAAATATTCCATCTCACATACAAATATAGCCTTTTTTTAGAATAATCTCAGAATGACAACTGTAAAATTTACCATACCTATTGCAAGTTGTTCCTTTGCACTGATCTCTTAGCCTTACTTCACATGAAACAATCTGAGCTAAAACAAGCAAAAAGCGAATTCACTGCAATGCATTTGATACAATATATTTCAATTTTGTTGATCACATGCAGATCAGGTAAATTCCTTACACATTTGCTGTGTACTTATTACTTCATTTTTCTCACTGTCATCAGTGCCTGTGGAGGCTGAAGGTGAATGTGTTCTTGGTCGGCTTTGAGCCGCTGCATCCTGGGCTTTGGATCGCTGACGTTCAATCTCATTGGTTTCCTCTTCTGGTTCGTGGGGAGAATAAGGTCTTTCTGAATCCTCTGTTTCAGAAAATGGGGGAAAAAATAATCTCATAGAAAAAAAATCACTGTGGAATGCAAATCCCTTGCTGTGTTTTGCTAAAATGACTGTTCTCATGAAATGGTGGACAAATGAAAGCAAGAAAGCAAGGAAAACTTTCCACTGCTTCATAAGACGGAGAGCTGAAGATTAACAAAAACATCTCAAGTATGTTTGTGATACTGAGCAAAGATTATTTTTTCCTAGCACATGAAGCATAATGAAGTATGAAAATGCTCTTAACACTCCTGGTTTAGTATCTTTATGCCATCAGAAAACCAATAGAGCAAAGATGATCTCTGGCAGAGTTTTACCAAGTTCATAGATAACACACAATTCAAGAAGCTTATTTCATAATAACACACAACTGAAAAGGATTCCCTTCTATTCATACATAATGAAAATAATTTTGAAATACTCATCACTGAATCTACATTTCTTACTTAGACAAGAAACAAGTGTGTATTTGGGCACACTCACACAGCTTTTATGGTCCGTATGCAATGACAAAAGTTATTAACAAAAATTGCTACATTAGTTGTACGCAGAGCAAACCAAGAAGAAAGTAGCAGCTTCACAATATGCTGCATTTCAATGCTACAAAATATCAACAGAATTCCAAAAATGGTAAGAAGTTAATAATCATCCTAGCCAACAGTTTGTTTAATTACTAATGTCTTCTAGTCTTGTTCTTGATTTTTCACATAGCACATGGCTATGTCACTGAGATAATGTTTCCCTATAAACAAATGAATGCATAGACTTACACTGTAATTACAGAAAGGCATATAAATAGCACACAGAGACAGTCTCCATCTTTGTGCACTAAAACCCCTGGTGAGGTTCAGCCTCATGTATCATAAGTACATGATCACATTCATCATAGTAAAGTAGGGCCCTACCAGGTCTTTGGGCACATGCACCATATATTCTATTCCACTCTGCTAAAGCATAATGAGGGATGAAATCAAAAGAAAGGTTACATTTCTCCTCCAATTTATAGCTGTAATATTAAAATAGAACATACCTCTGTAACAAAGATTTTCTCTACAACCTCCTCCAAAACTAGGGGGACATGCAGAACAAGGGCGGCCATGTTTATAAGGAGCATGACCCCACCAGTTACCCCTTTACACAAAAAGAAAATAAATAGTTAGCAAAAATTGCCTTAATAAATGAACATATTAACATTAAACATCATATCAAATGTCAACAAATAAATGATGAGAACCAGCAGACACGTAGACCATAACATTGTTTTGATATTCCTAAGTAACAAGTGATGAGAGGAAATGGGCTCAAGTTGCACTAGGAGAGGTTTAGATTGGAGATTAGGAAAAGGTTGTCAAGCACTGAAACAGGCTGCCAGGGAAGTGGCAGAGTCACCATTCCTGGAGGTATTTAAAAGATATGTAGATGTGGCACTCCACTCAGGGATTTCATGCTGACCTTGGCAGTTTTAGGTTCACAGATGGAGTCAATGATCTCAAATGGTGTTTTCCAAGCCAAAGGATTCTATCCTAATTACACAGAAAATAGCTGAAAAGTCCATTAAGGAAAAAATGAAGTTTACTGCCGTAAACTGCCGTAAAATCTTTTCAGACTGGCATAGCAACACAAGACTAAATTCCTCCATTATGTGAGAATGGGCTCTGCTCTCCTGGATGCAATATCCTGTAAAATTTGATCTTAACCTAACCATGGACTTTCTGTTACACGTTCCTTATAAGTCACAATGGGGAGATACATTTATTTTTCAGACAAATATCACACTACAACAAAGATCTTTGATGCTATATACTGAAGCACTAGAAAAATCACACAAGTATTTAAGCAGCCAAAGGCTACATTAGGAACAATGCTCTATTTTGTAACAGTACACAAAATAGAAAATCCAGACTTATTTCCTTTCAGATTATTTCCTGGATTATTATAAAGTATCTTGCCCCCTCAAGATATTTTTGGGTGCCCTACTTACTTAGGAGAATAATTGCATACAAGATAGACTGCTTTTGGCCAAATCTGCCCCCAGATGTTCATGTTATGACACAAATTAATTGCACAACCGATTCTGCTACTTGTAGCCCAAACAACCTATGGAAAAGGAAAAAAAAAACATGTGAAAACCAAAGCTGATTAACTTTAAAATAAAATCTGTCTCCAAACTTCAACACATAAAACTCAAATCACAGAAATGATGTATTCCCCTCTATTGGGATGAAGTGACCTAATTACAGCTGTCAAAAGGCCATTCAGTTATATCCTCATTGGAAAGAAAAGCTTTACCTTGATACAAAAGACAAGGGGTTTGAATTGGTTGGACTGATAGATTAAGTGTATTTCAGCAGTAAAAGCAGGTTACCCAGAAGATAAAACTTCACAAAAAATTCATACACCAAATAGATCCAAGTCATGGAATTTAAATTAAAATGTTTTCGTGACATTGCAATCTAAGGCAGCTGTGCTCCTTCATCCACCTTTCATTGCAGATCTCAAAATAATCAGAGTTACAAAGGCTGGAATGTTCAAACTAGACAAATATGACAAGTATTGAACTTGTATTAATTCAAGATAAGCCAACTGCATACTACCAGCAGGATTTAGGAGTTGAAAGAGACAGGTACTGTGAAGAAATAGCACCACAAAAAACTGTATGTATGTATTGATCTTGCATGTGATAGATATGTGCAATTAGAAAATAAATGTTTAAAAATTAATATTTTTTAAGTTTTCTAATGTTATATTGAAAATTATATGTGGACTGTAGTATAATCTGAAGATCATGTATTTCCCATTCACTGAAAATATGACTGGTTCCCCTTTGCAAAAATTCAAGCTACATACACAGATTTCAGAATTATGACGTAAGTTAGTTTATACAATTTCAAAAATCTTGCTGAAATTAAAGAAAGAACTTAAAAGCTGTTGTTTGATCTGAGGAATTCACCTAAGAAAACCTTTTTTTTTAATGAGCTGTTTCTTCAGCATATTGTGGAAAGGACTAGCAGCATACCAGCAGAGAGACCAGATTATGTAAAGTGCGCTGAGCAGTAATACTCAGTTTAACACTGGGGTTTGTGGACTTTTTCCTTAATCCTGCTAAGGAAATGATATCTATGAGGATAAGATCTGATGATTTCTATGACAACGCTACCCTGCAACCGACACCCAATGGTAACTATGGAATCTAAACAAGCCCTTTTTGGGCTCTTGTGCTATGGCATATACTGCAAGTTTAGTATGTTCTAAGCGTCATATGGTAACCTAACTGGAGGTCTTGACCACTCTTTTCCATAGCTGATAAAAACCAAACCCACCTACATACCTGTGTGTAATGTGTGCAAACAGGACCAGAGCATTTGTATGGACAATATGGATTGCATTCATGAGGATGGGGATATGTGAAATCTCTCACTTCATCATACCATGCTTGAACATGAAATGTTGGAGGTCTGTACCTATGAAAGCCAGTAGCAGTGTATTAGATCATACAAAAATTGTAGCTTCTATCATTTTTTCCTTTAAGCAACAAGCACATTTTGCTAGATTTTAAAAAAACCTCATATATTGTATACAACATTATCTTAAATTACCTTCCCCAATGTGCCCCCAAGTTCTGTCCAATTGATGGAAGAAGGCTTGCTGGTCCATGTTCCCATAGACAGGTTTCAGCCCATGACTCTGCAGATCTCTCCAATTCTGTGTCCCACATCTGCAATTTGAAAGAAAAGAAAGGGACATCTTCTAAGAAATATTTGGTGTTTATCTCATTCTCTAAAAAATAAAGAGGACTGTCCATTTTTGAAGTTTCTTTTACCAGAGCAGAAGACTGAAGAAAAAACCAAGACTTTGAAAATTGTATGCTTCATTTGTGTTACGTAAGAAAAATGTTTTCACCAACAGAAAAAAAAAGTTTTAATCCCCTTCCCTTTAGAAACCATGTGCAGCCATGCTGCAGTGAATAAAGCACAAATATGAAACTGAAAGGCTTAGTTCAACTTTCCAAGCTAAATCAAGTGCATTTTTCTGTCTTGTGAGATTTCTTTTTAGTAATGGGCACTTTTCTTAGCCAAAAGGGTATTATCCAACATACTTTCAAACAAGACTTTATTTTCTCTAAACCAATAGTTTATGTGAAATGAATGCAATTTTCTCTTCCTTTACTATAATCAGCTTTTGCTGAAATAATACACAATTCAAACACAAATTACAAAAACTAGAGTAAAGTTGTCATTCACTCCTTTTATGGCTATGCTGGAAAAAAAAAAAAAAAGGATACATCCATGACAGTAAGGCATGTTTAAGACAAGTCAAAGAAAATTATTGTTTATGACTATTGTTTACCCTTATTTTTTATTCTTTAAGGGACATGGAAGAATAGGTTTGTAGCTGAAAAGCAAATGCAAGTTTCTTTCAAAAGCACACTAAAACCTACGCTTCTTGAAAGAAATCATAACATACCGTGTATGCATAGTTTTTACTGCACTAAGCTGGGGTTTCCTCAAAGTGGTCCATCCCTCTTGTGCAAAGTATCCACACTGCTGCCTGACCTTCTGAATCTCCCAATAGCTGCAGAAATAGTTTCCAGATACCTGACTCTCCGATACCAACACTCAAGTTAGGAAACTATAGTATTTCCGGGAAGGAAACATGTCTTGATAGTACCTCAAACATTTCATCATAAGTTCAGACTAAGTTTCATGGAGTGAGACTGTGCTATCTAAATAACAGTAATTCAGTATTTCCAGATCCAAATTCCCATGCAGACACTGGAGATCATGTCTACAAATTTTTGGCACAGATGAAAGGTAGAAAACGTCTTAACACATCAAAGAATACACAAATATAACAGACAAATTCCACGCGCTAGAATTTATTTTTCTATTGATTTTGACATGCAGTTTTCACCTTATTAATCAGATTACTCATTAAAAACAAATATGTCCTTGGTTATGCAAGCCCATGATTATGCAAAGACTGTAATATCACTCAGTTTAATCCTAGAATATCTGTTCTTGCTTCTCTTCTTCACAAGTCTCTAATGTATTGAATTCCATTTTGTCTGTTATTATTAATATCATCAGCAAGTAAGAAATTTACAGGGTGCATTTTGACTCCCAAAACACAGCATTTATTTTGACAGAATTACTCAAACAGTGTAATAATGACACAATAAATCTTTCAACCCACCCATGGATACAAAACCTACTGACTTTAGAAAGCAGTGAGAATTTTCTATTCTCCCTCCAGGGACAGCATTTCTATGTCATAAACCACAGCATTCTTTAATCTCCATAAGAAAATATTCTAATCTTAAATCACAAAGTTTTATATGACAGTTTCTATAAATCTTTTCCTCTTCCCTTTTGTTGTCACACCATCATAAATAGTTCTTCTCCCTATTGTACCCATTGTATAAAAACATGAAGATTAACACAGTTCTTCCACATATATATTTTGTTCTTAAAGACTGTAGAACAATTGCTCCATCATTCTACCACATAATCATGAGACTGTAACATTTTAAAATAAAACCACTACTGTTTGGTTTTGTTGCATATATTGTATGACATTAAGTCAGCTCAAAATCTTATAATATGCAGATTTAGCTCCAAGTACGAATGAGCCATAAAGTCAACATGTTTCCCAAATAATTTCTATTAGGAATGGTTTAACCAACTGGATTATGAAATACAAATTTAGAGTAAATTAGACTTATGACACACCAAAATTTGGGCACCTGCTCACTTTTAGAAGTTCCATTTTATACAGCTATTATAACTGAAATGATGATATTTTTTTGAAGATCATAGCTAGGCAATCAATAGTAGCTCCTTGAATCGATTCTACAAACTTGTGCAATGTTTAACAAGATTTTCTTTTAAAGAGCGATGATAGCTATGCATGACAGAGCCATCCAGAACTCTGCAAGAATAGCTTTTTGACGAAAAACTTAAATTCATCGTTAATCCTCCTGACATATGAAAACCCATACTCCAAGTAATGCTGAAATTGGATACAGCCTTCAAAAAAAGTTGTCTTCCTTAACTGTTTCTCTGCCTTCATCCACAATATAAAATATTGTCTTTACTCCCTTTACCCTGCTTGCCTCACCACAGATACACACTTTTCCCAGTTTCTAGGCCACAATCTTAGCTAGAGCAAAGAAATATTCATGCCTCAGCAGACAGGCTTCAGCTCTTTGCAGGAAGCACAGTGCAGGAGACAATATCAGCAGTGAGGAGTCTGAGGTGTTCGGATACTTTTGTTCATTGCAAACTCATTCCTGACTCCAGAAAAAGTTGGTGTATGAGCCAGCGAGCCAACTCCACACTCTTCAAGAATGGCTTTATGTGTGCAAGATTATTTCAGGTAGGAATCTGATAATTAATTATGGGAAAGAAGTCATAGCTTAAGGTTCATCATGAGGTAATCACCTTAATTGTTTTTATGTTACAGAGCTTAAATTTGTCCCATTGGTGCTTTCCATGGGTTTAGTTTGCTACAATTTATGTTGAAGTGAGCCTCATCACAGTGCACTTTCATTGGAGCAGCTCCATTTATGATAACCAGGATGAAGCTTAATTTCTTTCTTATTTTAATCACTTAAATATTGTTTTGAGATGTGATGGAGTAAACACTGAAAGCATTACATATTCAGATGTACAATTCTGTCAAGTGTAAATTGTACATAGGAAACAACCTCTTCAATTGCAGCATTCATTGCTCAACTGGTTCATTTTCTTAACAAGGCCGCCACTTCCTGTCCTCTTCAATTGCAGCATTCATTGTTCAACTGGTTAATTTTCTTAACAAGGCCGCCACTTCCTGTGTCTGTACTCAAAATAAAACTTCTGCTAAGGTACATCAAATTTATGAAACATTCTGGAAGAATGCCCAATATCCCAGTTTCAAAGAATTTCCTAGATATTCAAGTCACTTTCTTGTTTGCCAGAGACTTCAAAGAAAAAGTGGGAATAAAACATCACTAACCTCCTACAGCCAGTGGAAAAAAAAGGTAGAAGGGTTTAGTGGAAAAAAAAGGTAGAAGGGTTTAGAAGTCAAATACTTGGGTCTCTAAGCCCTACCAAGACAGAAGCAATACAGCACAAATCCTAATCTATGTAAAAATGAAGAAGTTTCTCAATCTCCAGGATCACTCTAGTGTACTTTAATAGGAAGGGGGAAACTTGATATTCAAGAATAACTTCCTCCAGACTCAAAAATGATGCATCCTGAGGAGCAAGAAACCAGGCAAAAGAGACCTGCGTGGATGAATAAAGAACTCTTGTCAATACTCAAGCATAGCCAGGAAATACACAGGAGATACTTTTGGCTGCAAACAATGAATGTATCTCCATACACAAAGAAAGCTAAATGTGTATGTGTTCACGTTCAATTTTGTAAAATTCAAAAGGCTTTTGTTCTCTCAGTGTTCCCTTCCTACTTAAAGCTGGGAAGAAAAAAGATAAAGGCAGGAAAACAAATGCATAAGGACAGGTTTACAAAAAAAACCCAAACCTGTTCATTCAGAGCAAGTTACACAATGAAGAACTTCAAACAAATATAGAACTAATTAGTGATCTTTAAGAAGGCAGAATAAAAATGGAAGAATATGAAGAGTCACAGCAACACAGCTATTTTAGATCCTACCAGAAGAAAGCATTTCTCATACTTTAACCACAATGTCATTAGTGATATTAAAAGCCGGCAACTGAAATATACACTGAGCTGACCTAATTCTGACACTTCAAGCTTAATTCAAAAAGTTCTTCCATAATACTCAGCAGCAGTTGGTATTTTACAGACTTAAACCAAGGACATTTCTAAAACAACTCTTTGAAACAATTGATGAAGTTTAAAAGAAATCTCCGCATAGCTATAGGCAAGGATCCTTTCTGAATGATAAAGGACGAATGAAATCTTCAAACACCATTACTTAAAAATACAGAAGTTGCTTCTTTTCAGAAAAAGTGTGGCTATGATCTTGTGAAATGTAGGTATATACAGCACCTGATTCCTCATCTGCTAGTTCCCTCATTTATGCTCTGAGGTGACCAGGTTTAAATGACTTTGCACTATCAGATTTCTTTGATAAGCACATGGTACTGAAGGGAGCACAACAAAATAGAAGTGCAAGTAGGTCACTGATTCGAAGTTCTGACAGTCATTTTCACTGCCAATTGTTTGGTACTACATGCGAGGTGATTCAACCTGTTTATCAAGAAAAGGTATTGTTCATATTGTCAGAAAACTACATGTGGTCTATGCTTTGGATAAGGGATCATCATCAGGGTTGGCCTTCTACACTGAGACAGGCAGACACTGAAACTAACAACAACTGCTGTGCAACATCAGCCTAGTTGAAGGTATTCCTTTTATTTCACAGAACACTGTTAGAGTAGCAACAAATGTAAAAGGAGTTGCTAGCATGTCCTAAATTGAAAAACGTCCATCCACTTGCCAAATCCTGCATTTTTGACTTCCAAGAGATTACTCAGTGATGCTAATGATAAAGACCGAAAGATGTTATCTAGCAATGGGAAGACAGTGCAACTGCAGAGATGAGAAGAAACTACAGAGGGTTTTTTTCCCCTCTTGTCCATCAATGATCATGACGTCAATGTGACCGTAGCTACCAAACTATGTACCTCTCTTTC